ATAAACGAATACATTTCTTTTTAATTAAATTTTTTTCATTTGATTTATTATTCACACGGCAATTGATATGTTTTTTATTACAAAAAGCATTCATTTCAAAAAGCAATTTATTCTTCTATGTTCAATAACGAGAGAGTTATTTTTCGGTATCTTAGTTTGTGTGTTTGTTGATCACTCTTGAGAGGGCTGATGGGCCTTCACAATCGAAATCGATTTACTTCTTTACGGCTCTTTGATCGTCTGCCTTTTTTTCTTGTTAGGATTCTCAAAGTTCGGGATCATTGCGTCTGTTCGAAAAGGTCTTATCTCGAGTGATCATAATTTGCTTGGAAGAACGTCTGTAAACGCTAACAAATTTAAAATGTGCCTTATCAATATTAGATTGCCAGACGTTGGGCATATATGTTTACCTACTTTGCCTGAAGTCAGTCATTTTAACTCAAATATCAAAATTGAAGGTGTAAGGAAAAAAAGGATTAAAAACACAATAGCGGGCCACGGTACACCATTAAATGACTTACACCATCCTGTCGTTACTCATGTAACGATTCTTCACAAGAAATCTTTATATGGGAGGGAAGTGGCCGAAAAAGTGATCTGTTCCGAACCATTTTCAGTAGAGTTCGTCCTTGGAGCGAAAACACATCAATCAAAATGTTTCAAAAATTGCGACATGTAGGTTGTATACAAGGCAATGCGAACAGGCATCATGAAGAGAGACGGACAGACAAGCTTACATATGATATATATATATATATATGAGTCCAGATATAATACAATAACATGTAGTAGAAGGTGGTCTTAATACTGTATATATAATTATTGTATTATAATATTAATACTATATATATATATATATTATATACTATATATATATATATATTATATACTATATATATATATATTTATATATATATCTGAAAACAGTGTCTATCTATATAACAAAAGCCCAGAAGGAAGCGTCAGAGACCCCGTAAAGTGTATATACATTCTTCATCAGCATCAAATTCTGAATTAATTTAAGCATGACCGTCCGTCTGTCTACGTAATGCCTATCGACTATCAGTTCTTGCAAGCAGGTTGATGTGTGTTGAAAATGGGACAAATCGGTCGTAGGACGCGTCTATGCGACAAAAGCTGTGAATGCATTTACTTATCGTGTTTTTTGCTTATTGCTCATACAGTACAACACATACATCACATAAACAGACGCGCCCATCCAATGTTGTAATGCATTTCTTTTCTTTTTTTTTGGCCATTTCTAGGATAATGATGATGGGTATAAAGAATCCGATCAATATTCTGTATGGTAAGGTAGAGACGTGAAAATGGTTTCGGTTTCATGGTTATACTTACCGCTTAGTTCTCCAATCAATAGTAAAATAAATTTTTCCCTGAAATTTTTATTTGGGTGACCTTTTTCTATATAAACCCAACCAACCATTGAATGAATTTGATCCATATTCGTTAATGTAGGTATGGTACATACGGATTTATGGGACTGAGGAGTAATAATAATTTTTATTAAAAATCAATACATATTTTTCACAAATTTATTTTAGTTCTGGCAAATATATAACAATCAAATCGTATCTGAGTCTCAAATTGGTCAATTTGCTGCGAAAAATTAGGGTTAAAAGGCAAACTTCTGCCTATTAAGGCATGAAGTTTGTTCGAAGTTTTTGCTAAAGCACTTTAAAATGTACGAACTAAAACTAGATCTATTCAATCGCTCAAGGTAATCATTACTAAGCAAGAAAGGATAGGTTGAGTTCAGTATTTAAAAAATAACTTTAAAAAATATGAATTCACTGCTACGTTATTGTAATAAATAAAAACGTAGACGTTTTTATCGTTATATTTATAAAGTAAGTCAAACAAATGTCAAAACGCTTCGACTATTATGAAAAAAGTTGAAACGTTTTGAAAAGTTGTAGGCTTGTATGCAATGACCTTGAAATATTTTTTTAATTTTGTTCTTGTCAATATAAGCACAAGCATTTTGCTCTTTAAATAATTGCAACGATTGCAATCTCATAAATGCCAGAAAATTTGTTATGTCCTTTTAAAAATCAATAACACAACAAACCTTAAAATAATTGCTAATATATGTTAATTTTGCGCACTTAGCGCCGAAGTAAGAGGTTTGGCTTGACATTCCGCTTATAATAACAAGAGAAATGCGTCATAGAGCAGATATATATGTGTTTAGCGTCAAGTCGATTTAATCGCCTTTGGTCCGTTCGTTTGTCCAGCCTCTTTGGACTTTTAAAACTGAGATATGCAGCTTCGAAATCTTACATCTCTTCCTACACCACAATGGTCGGATGAGGAGGATCGGATATAGGGGAATTCAATCAAATATTTGGTTTAAAGCCTTATTTACGGCGGCCATTAAAATATGGTTATCGTATACCGATTTTTGTATATTAAGATGAGTAACTGAGGGTTATGTAAATACACTATCACTCAGCGTGACCTTAAAGACAAAGTATACTTAAAATGTTATAGTGAGTGGGGGGAAGAAGGCCCACTCATTAAATGTCCTATACCATATCAATATTTTCAATCCAGGGATGAGAATATGAAAATATATCAACCATTTTAACCGGTGCAATGAAAAAGTCGAGGATCGAAAGAACCTGCTAACGAGGTCAACATTTTTCGCTGGAAATTTATATGCCAAGTTAGTACTCCATGCCCGAAGTTTTCATCATAAAGTAACACATTTTGCCATCATATAAGAACGTGTATATGACACCGAGGTCGAAAGGTGGCCCTTTTGATTCCGAAATTTTTTCATATGCCTTTGAATATGTCAAAATATTGATTTTTCGACAATTTGATCGAAAGATATTAAAAATAGACAATTCTTTTTATCCATTTTCGATAGCATTCGTTCTTTAGCCAAAATGCACCATTGCGCCAAATTTCATTAAGATATCTTGAAAAATTGCGACTGCTACATGGCATACATATAGAAAAACACAGGCATCGGCCAAGCTGATAGAGAGACAGATGTAACTCGTTTCAGAAGATGAGTTTGAGAGTCCTGTATCTGTTGTAGTTTATAAGCAACGAGCAAGAGAGGAGGAAAGCAAGTGTTCACGGTTTTTACAGTATAGGCGTGTGGGCGTTGTAAGTTCGGTCATTGCAAAATTTTGGGTAATTTTCAAATTCTATTGCAATTTTGTAGGCGATATCTTCATTCACCACAGATAAATGAACGGACGGCCATGCTTAGGTGCATTCCAGCTTTGAAATTGGCCAAGAACTTGTAGACTTTACAAGGTTTTTGAAGCTTGTTTCGTGTGTGCGTTATAAAGGCTATAGAAAAAAATGAAATTATGACACACTATATGACTATATATGTAGACAATGAGCCAAAAAAAAAAAAAATTTTTTTCACGCCTACAGTTTACGTAGTACTGTGTGTACTGCATGTCCTTTGACCGATTTGGCCTATTTTAAATATTATCCCGCGTGCAAGAGCTCCATTCTTTCTGTCAAATTTGAAGTCGATTGATTCATTTTTACGACCAGGAGAATGTTTACACCAGACAGCCAGGTCATGCTTAAATCGATTCACAGTTTAATGCTGATCAAGAATATATATACTTTGTGGCATCTCTGAAACTTCCAACTGGGCGCTGCAAATGGCTTGATAAAATTAACTCTCTGGTGACGGGTATAAAAAAGGTGGAAGTATGGAAGACTTGCCAAATCAAGATTTGTAACGTAGCCTGAAGTGAAAGATGTTTTCAAACGTTGCGCTTTTCTGTCATTTAATACATATTAAAATAAATTTGCAGCCAAAGTTCTCGATTCTTTTATTGTAAGCCGTTGACGCAAAATACCTTACAGGCAGGAAGAGGAGAACATTTTTGAAAAAAAAATTTACTGAATCCAACTCTTAAACAAAGCTTTTAAGTAACTCCGGAATGAAAGTGCGTTTCGAAATATTTTACATATAAATTTTTATTTAATAACAAAAATTTAGTTATTAATAAATTTCGCAGTAAGTACATAGGCCTTAAGATTAGAATAGAATATAAAAATGTTTGATTACATACATTGACAAATTCTGTAAATAAATATTTATTTTATTTTTAAAATTTTCCAATTACTTTTTATAAAATAGAGAATAAAATTTTGCTTTCGTTACAAGTCGATAAAATTGGAAAAGAAATAATAAAAGATTGAAACCATAAAACATATTTTCGATTTTATATTTTTTTTAATTTTTCATTTTTTAAAGTAAAAAATTTTAGTTTTTAAAAATTTCCACATTAATATATTGTTATATAAAAATAAGCTTGTAGGTGTGTACGCAGGCACTGATTGCACAGTGCGCGATGATATAAGTTTATAAAAATTTCCTTTCGTTAATTTTCTAAATATATGTTTTGCTTATATTTTTGAATTGTGTATAAATTCCGCTAATATGTAAAATTTATATATATATATATATATGTGATTAGTTTTTGTACAGGCAAAATGCCAATAGAACTCGAATAAATAGAATAACAAACAAAGCAATAACAAGCTGCTGCTGCTGCCAACCTCCATCCTATCATCGGCAATCAACAGAGCGCAAAGTCTGACCGCACCAAAGTTGGCAATTGCATGCAATAGGCGACATAATTATGCAGACGAAAAAAAAAAAAACAAACAAAATAGTATATGAATGTGTATGTGTGTATGTGTGCTCGTGTGTAGTATAGTTCGTGCCCCTTCCATTTCGTAACACCTCGAACTCTTTGCAAATTGCCGTAAGTGAAAATTTGATCGTTAAAGAAGCCTAAGTAACCTTCATTTTTCTGGCATTCGTTTGATATGTTGTTTATGTGTTTGTTTATTTATTCATTCATTTACCTATTTATTTATTTATTTTTTTATTTCTTAACTCAGCCAGGTGTACTCTTTGTACTAAATCTGGAGGAAGAACGTCGAAGAAATGGTAAACGTTTTCTTTTGGATTTTGTACGGCCTCTGTTTGGTTTCTCCACTGCAGCATGTTGCGTCTCTTGACCGAGTCCTGATTGTTGCAACAATTGCGATTGTTCCCCAACGATTGCTGTAGGCTCAATTTCCGGATGACTATGCATATTAGATGCTTCAGAGCTGCTTGTAAATAGATTTATAGTGCTACCTGAAGTTAATAGCAAATGGCTGGTTAAGGGACTGCCGGTGCAATGCAAATGCAACTTAGCTAATTTACGATTGCACTTATTGAGCTGGGCTCGCACTAAGGGAACAGCAGTCAAACGCCAGTTAATTGGACCTGGTCCGACGGAAGGTCTGTTGAAAATGTTGGTAGCATGTACAATCTTGCCGCAATTGTGTTTTAGATCAACCTTCGGGCTGTTCTTAAGGGAAGAGCTATTGATGCTCGTCGACTTGACGATATCTGGTGTTTGCGTAATCGCAAGTCGTATATCTTTGCGGGCAACCGGCTCAGCTTTAATACTAGATTTACATATTTCTCGCCTCTTATTTTCGTCGTCTTCGTTTCCCTTTTCGGTTTGCCTATGCTTAGCTGCTTCGCTTCTTTTTGCAACTGGAGCTATTGGTTGCTTGACTTCGTGCTCTTCTTCGTTTTGCTGATGTTTTGCTGTTTTTCAGGATCTCTTGGCACTATCCTTGCGAAAGGATCGACGCAATTTATCGACTAAACGCCAATGGAATTTTGTTAAATCATTTTGACTGCTTGTATTTGTTGTACTGGTCGTTGCGGTCTTTTGGGGACTAGTATTACTCGACTGGCAGAATGAACGCGTCGGTGATATGGTCGCCGATACTGAGCCCTGTGATGATTTCGACGCATTCCGTGGAAATGTACGCTGCGATTGACAGCGTTGCATTTGCATTCGTTGCGTATGAAGCGGCGAAGTAGCAAAACTTTCTGATTTACGCTGCCTCCCCTTACACGGCGGCATACCAACACCGACAGCACCGGACGCCACTGACGGACCAGCACCATTAGAGCTAGCGTTTGAGCACTCGGAAGTTTTCCGAGATCTGGTATCCTTATAAATTTCAAAATTGTTTTTCATTACTGGCATCATAAAAGCCATGGTAGCTGTTTTTCGTCTTTTCTTATTTTAAAATTAGTAAATATGTAAATACTTAAAGAGGAACTTTTTCCCAAAATTTCTCCTTGTTAATCTTTTCAACTTTTCTTAAAGGCACTTTTCTTATGATTTAATTCTATGTACAGCACTTTTTCGAAAAAGTTTTTTTTTTAAAGTTCTGGAAGTTTTCTTACTCGTAAGTCTTTTTCATTAATATTCTTCGCGACCAATGAAAGATTATTTATTAATTTTTTTTACTTTTCTGTTTGTTTGTTTGTTGTCTCTCAGTTTGATTATTATTTATTTTCTGTTTTGCTTTCGTTTTTCTCCGAGTTCCAGATCCGCAAGCTTTCTTGCTGTTTGCTTCTAAAATTTCCCGTTTTTAAGATTTATTAGCTTTTCATTTATTTCTTCATTAACAAAAATAAAAAAATCGTAGAAAAACCTCAAAACACTTTTTTTTTTTTTTAATAAACACCACTTCTTAACGTCACACCTGACAGTTCGATTTAAGCGATAAAAAATTTTTACATGCAAGAATTTGCTGAACTTCAAGTGAAAATATTATAATATATAACAATATATAAAGTAACGTATATTATTTTTTATACAAGTCCCGCGACAAAAAATCCACGTCCAAATTAAATGAATTCAAATTCAAAAATATTGTTATTTTTATTCACTTTGCTGGCTTTGCTGCACATTTCTTATGGATGCCCCGCAACAATGCTGAGAATAAAACAAGTAAGAGTGAAATAAAATAAATAACACGTCAGCTGTTGGCTCTGAGCGGAGAATTATGTTCGCTAATGTTTCTCTCTTTTTCAGACTCCTCTCAGCGTAAGACGACATTCTATAATAAAAATGCCAGCAAGACCTCAATAGTGCCAACTAATCAAGTAAACCTCCTCTCACAATACTTCCTGAGAATTGAAAGAGTAATCGACGTATTCTGAGTTAAACTCGTAACGCACAACATTTATATGTGATTTGATATGGAAACGAAAACCACTCTTTTTGAGTGGTTTTCTTCATTAGTTTCTCCTTAGTTGTTTTCTCTGCTCTCGCCAGCGAAACAAAAACCGCAAAATTATAGAGAAAAATCATGCAACTAAATAATTTACTCGTTATTTAGGATTGCCTGTTGGCCGCGGGGGGGGGAGTTTCCAGAGTTCAACGTTAAATTTTCATTGGGCTCAACATTACCGCGCATAAGGAATTTATAGTAGATTTGAATCTGCGTTTCTACGTCTTGATTCTTTAAACGCCATTCGATGTATATATATTTTTGATCAGTATAATTCTCTATATATGTCCTACATTCGATCTGTCTGTCACTTGAAAGTGGCGACGAAAGCAAATATGGAAAACTACAAAACACTTTATATGTACACAATATAACTATATATAAAATAGCATGATTCACTTGCAACGACCTCGAACAAAGCCGAACATTTCAATATATGTTCTTGTTAATTGAGACGAATTTATGACCATAAAGTTTATACAGCTATAGTGATATTTGCATCTCACGGGAATTTAATTAAGAAACGTATTAGATAATTATCTGAAATGCTTTCACGTTTTGATCTTGACGACATTAACCGTTTGCTTACATACTTTAGCGGAGGTTATTATTAAAGCATAGGACACGAAATGGCGACTTAGTCTATGCCGAAATTATTATAATCGTAAAAATTTGGTTAATAGATTGAAACTTTGCATATAAATTTTGAAACAAGCTTAAAATTTGATTCAGTACATTCCCAACAAGTAAAAAAATGCTGCTTATATTGTAACAAATACTGATAAAATATTTGACAAAAATATGGAAAAAGTCGATCAAAAATAAAAAAGTTCTGATACTAACTTGCACGCCTATTCGATTAATTCGTTCTATACATTAATAGCGGTACCATTAAAGACAATCAGAAAAAAAAAATAATATTATACAGTACTAAAGAGTCACTGCTTTTTTTGCATCTCTTGAATCTTATTAATTAAATAATGATTTCACACCGTCAACAAATTAATAGAGTAAAGTGTTAGAAAAGGAAAACATAAACATTCGCACGTATGTATGCAGTTCATCAAACGAGATTTAATATTTCTTTGAGTGATTTTGCATCAGTGTGAGTGAATGCAATAAACTTCATGGTTTTATTTGTAGGGTTGCCAGGTTCTAAGCAAGCATAGATAGCGACCATTACACTTGTTTCCCCATGTAATGTATTCCACGTGCTATTGTTTACATTCGAAAATAAGACCATACGCTGTTGTTGTTGCAAATTCTTGTACTGTATGTGGTGTTGTAAGATTTCTAAGAAAATATCATTTGGTCGATTTGGTGTTAATTGATGTGAAATGCAGTGCAACAATTGTACAGCTACAGCTTGACCACTGCATACTAATGACGGACCACTCTCTCCTTGGCAAGCAAACAAACTTGTTGATGAAATCCTAGTATCAGCAAAAGTAAGTAACAATTTTTCTCTTGCAGAAGTATTGCGGGGTTATGTTTCCTGGTGTTGATTTCGTCAGCTCATGGTCTATGAATGTGTCTAAATTACAATTAAAAGGTCGACTTCCTCGTCGGTTCTCTCTGTTCAGAAAAAAAAGGACATTTGGTACCAAGGATGGAATAGGTTTAGTAGCAAAAAATTGAAAAAAAAAAAAAAAAATATTATAAACTGTATATGTTTGTTCTTATTTCATATGTATTTGTCACGTCTGTCTTTGCTCTGAACTGAATACCACAATTGTTGGTTCAATCGGTTTTGCAGTGGTAGAAATCTCAGACATCTCAGTCTCTAGCCTGTTTATCCTGCGTACTCTCAGCGCGCGATGAAGAATCACGTCGGCATTCGTAAGCTTAGTTATGCGTCTAGGTTTAAACTCTTAAGTCAGAAAATAATGAATACTCTATGCATGTGCACTATTATATAATATATGTTCATTTGATCGTATTGTTTTCATAGAAATAAACTTTTTGTTTTTGGACTGGCTGATTTCTAGGCGTGGTGCTGACGAGGTTTGATTGGTAAGTAGTGCAGCCCTGCTCTGCCAAAAACCGTTCGCGTCAATGGCATAGATTAGATAGTAAAATTTGAGTGCTCTCTTTCTACACGAAACCAGGCAATGATTTCTTTAAATCACTTGAAAAATATTTAACGACTGGGGCGCAGTTGATCGCTGATGTTTTTAAACCGTTTCGATAAAATTCTATCTTATGTTTAGCTTGGAAAATGAGTGAAGGATGAATAAGCTAAACTACTTCTCAATTGAGAAGCTTTTAGCGCCTCTTTGTCTCTTCGAGCGTTCTGAGATAGAATAACAAGGACAGTCGGCCGATGCACACAAAAAAAATATACATTTCACTTACACACATATTCTACAAAAAATTCCATTCTCCAATACCGTATTAATTTTCCTGCCGCCAAGCATATTTATTACGGGCTCTATGAACAAGAAATCGTGAGAAACAGTATACTACTACTATCTATATTAGCTTAGACACTTAACTGAATTCTTCGTATTAACATTCCATTAATATTTGAATCGAATTGTGCTCAGGAAAACATCATTGAGGAAAATTTGAAAGCAATATATTTTCTGGTAAGTACTCGTTCAAAAGAAAAGACGTAGATCTATAATGAAAGTGTTACTTACCTATATGTTAATTTCATTCAGGCCTGATATATTTCCTTTTGCATTTATGTAACTAAAATGTACTATCTGCTACAATTAGATTGAAATATTGGAAAGGTCTATAATAATGTATAGTTTGTTGATACCTAATATCAACAATGCGTGCACTTAGACAACCAAGCGATTGTGGGCGTCTTACGGAATTTTTCATGCACTCTGGCTATTAATCACGAATAACGATGATATGAAATCATTATCATGTAAAATGATTTTTATAGCCATTATCGAAAGATGTAAAAGCATATTAATTTCTACATACTGTTTGCAACGTTGAAAAAGAAAAGCAATAAGTTATATTCATATGCATTCTTAAACAGCATCGAACTCTGGAACAATCTTTGATTGAGCGAATTTTAGTAATTTATTTGAACAATTGATTTTTTATTCGTGGGTATGGCTCGTCCACAACCACGTGTACAATTTCCAAAAACAAACGCATAATCAAGTGTGGCCGTGTCTTCCATACTCAGAGTACAGAACATGTTATCCACGCAATTTACCAGCAATGAGCCAAACATGGGTTTTTTTTTTTGAACGATTGGCTCAATTTCAATATCAACCTGCTTGCAAGAACTCACAATTTTGTTTTTTTTTTCTTGCTCTATTTGAAGATGTTCACTATAAACGTTACACAGGCGAACAGAAAGACAGACGGACCTGGTTATGTTGATAGACAACGCTGAAGAATCTTTATACTTTACAGGGCTTGTGAAGATTTTTCCTCGTTTTTGCAAATGCCTGGACGACAAAAAAAATATGCGTCCATTCTTCGGAGGGTGGTCACAATGAAGCTTGCAGCATATTTTCATATTACGTACTGAAAATGACGCCTTTTAACATTGTATTTTAGAGAGCACCTACGGTCCTTGACACGGTATTCAAAGACTTCCTTACATATTTTCTCGAAATATTTGCAGTGAATTCATGGACTTTTTTCTTGTCATACATCCGCAAATCCCTAAACTCCTCAATAAAGAAGTTGTTATACGTACTCTCCAGAATTTTAGAATAAAAGTCGTTTTTAGAGTTTCTTGCATAGCATTAATCGCGTTGAAGCGAGATAACGGCAATAGGCTAAATTTTTAAGCAGAATCGCCTTCACTGCAGAAAAGCAAGAATTGATCCGCGATCAGCTGTACGATCGAAGTGCATTTAAAACAAGTTTTAATAGCCTTACAATTCTACTTGCTTTAGCATCACTAAAACCACTTCACCTTATGCGCCAGAACATTTGATTCCGAGTCCTCATAATTACTTGGACGGAAGTTATTTATTTGTGATGCTAGAGATGGGCACTCAAAATTCGTGCAAAACTTTGTGTGTGCGCGAATGCAGCTTTCTATTCGTTAAACAATGTTACAAATTTTTATTTCAAACGGATTAATGACGCATTGAAAATCTGTTTTCACTTCGTTTACTTTAGACGTCATGCGGTTTTTTCTTAAAATTGTATTTAGTTGTTTTGTTTTTTTCTTTTTTATGTTCATAGTAAAAAGTGATGAATTAATTAAAGAAAAACAAAAAATATTTTTCAAAGTGTGCGGTTTGTTTTGTGTTTTTTTTTATTTTTTTATTATATTAGAGGAAAATTTTTTTCGAATTCTAAGGTTCGTTTGCCTTGTGTGCTTAGTTATGAAAGTGATTGTGTGTGAGTATTGTTTACTCGTCAATATCACAGATGTCTTCTTAATTGTTTTATTTTGAAACAAAATGTCTCCTATTGCCAAAAAGTAAGAGATCGTGCAGAAGACAATTGTTGACTACTTTGAAATTTGTAAACAAAAGCTTTACATGCCAATAATTGATTTATTTTTACGGCTTGATTGTAAAAAGAAAAATTAAATAATTGTATGGCGTCTGTAAATAGAAAAACATCTTAAATCAATAAACAATGCGTCAATGTCCTCTTCTTATAGAATGCTATTTGCGCTAATGTTTACGGCAACAATTAGCCCAAGATGAGTTTGCTTACGTACCGAGTTTCAAGTTTCGTGTATATCGC